GGGTGGACAGACAGCAGTGCTAACTCCCCCAGGCCTATGGCTCAGCTGCATCGTTTTTGCCTTGATTCTGAGGCCCACTCAGAGAGTTTCAGAGAAGTGGACATGGTAAACAAAGCTGCTTTTCAACAAAAGGGCAAAATTGCCTAAAATGGCCTTATATGATAAATGGCTTTTCCTGGGGCCTGTTTCTGGAAAAATTAAGTCAACAGCGTTAATAGCTATGTAACCTAAGTACTGCTAAAAGTCAGTTTTAAAGATAGACACATAAAACAGAAATACTTGTTTTTTTCCTCATTAACTTTTTCAAAAAGCCCTAAGTACCACCATGTGATAAATACTTCATGGCACAGCCTGCGTAGATCCTCCTGTGCATGTGCTTATTTGTGGGAGAGATCTGACTGGGCAATCAGTCAGAGTTCAATTCCTGACACTGCAAGAACTAGAGCATTGGTCCACAAATGTGACTCACATACTTCTCCCCATGCACAAAATAGGCCTTTGCATGTATAGAATTTTCATTTTGTAAGAATAAAAATAGCAAATACTGCCAGCATCCCTATAGCAATGTATACTTTGTAAATAATTTTTGTAACTCACTTCATTGTGGTGTGAAACGAATTAGACTAGGAGCTATTGTAATACCAGTTTATAGATGAAGAAACTGAAGTAAAAAGACACCAGGGCCACTCAGCAAGCAAAGGGATCAGGGCCGGTGGGGGCATTTGCCCTGGGACATGAGGGGCAGCAGCGAGGAAAAGGAGGCTGAGGGGGTAAGCTGCCTTCCTCGCTTGGGCCGCATCGCCTTTTTCTCTCTACTGTGAATTTCCATCCACAGCGCAGGCCCACTGTGGGATCTTCCTCGTCGCCATCCTATCAGTATAGGGTCGACTATGCAAGAAGCTTCATTCATTTTGTAACTACACTTATGGTTTATTTTGGCTCCAATTTTCACTGCCCCTGAAAGTTGAAGTGTGAAGTATCTGGCATGAGTCAGGTAGTTATTCCGTCAATGAGCCAGTCCTGGTCCTCCTAGTCTAGCCACAAGAGCTTGTGCAAGGCCTTGGAGAGAAGGTCTGGGCTAGGGAAGCTCTTCTTTACTTGCCCGCTTCCCCCCAACTCTGAGCTTAGGAAATGTCCCAGGCCTGTTCATCTGAGCAGAACTCAGACCCTCGTGCTTTGCTCTCAGTTGCCACATACTTCTAGAATGCATCTATACCCTACTTTGGTGCAGGCCTCAGGGACACACAATATCTGTTCCCTTTGGATTTTCTTCCATCTCCCAGTCCAGAGATTTTTATTCAGCTAGCAAAGTAGTTAGAGGGAAGGCATGGTGAGCAGAGAAGCTTGGTTTTTGCTCTCAGGCAGTCTCTAAAATTCACGATCAAACTTATGAATGACTTTCAAAAGTCTGTTATCAACTTCTCTGGCTCTTTTTCTGCCTCCTGAAGTGATGATCCCCTTCAACATCTAGCTTCTCACAAAGCCGTTAAGAAGCAAAAGGGAATACCTTGGGGGAAGTTCTATTAAGAACTTGAAATTTTCTCTTGGCACAATAGCTAATTTTTCTTAGTTCTTATATGTATTAGACACTGTGGTAACATTTTACATACATTATTTCACTCAATCCACAACTCTATAAGGTGGGAGACTCTAAGGTCCAGAAGGGTAGGTAATTTGCCTAAGGTCACACAGTGGAGCTGAGATTTGGCTCGTTTGTTTATTTATTCATTCATTAATTCCACGAATGTCTATGAGCCCCTGCTATGGAGCAGAGACCTACGAGGTGCTGGAGTTACAGCAGTGAACAAGGCAGATAAGGTTTCTTCCCTCATGGAACTGACACTCTAGTGGAGAGACAGAAAACATGAAAATATCTAAATGGCATAATTCTTACAAGTTCTATGAAGAAAATAAAACACTTAAACCCAGGCATTTTGACTTCTGAGCACATGACTGTAACTACTGCCTCTCATTCTCTCAGGGGTACTTAGGGAGGAGAGGGGTGGGATTCACTCTGCCACAGTCCCTTCCCTTTCCCTCTGTTCATTAGAATTGCTGGTTTACATGAACCTTCTGTGTGGGAGGGGATCCTGATCTCACTGGTGTTTCCCTAGATGGCAATTCCACATTCACATCCTGTCAGAGAAGCTCACAATCGGGTGATAGTTCAGATCTTTCCTCTTTTCCTTTTTCTTCTTGCCCCTTCTCCGTTGCTTTCATGTATACATTCATTTATCCATTTATTCACTAAAGGTTCAGAAATGCCTATTATGTGCCAGACATGGCGTTGTGTGCTGGAATCACCAAGACAGATGAAAAATGGCCCTGCCCTCACACAGTTTACAGTCTAATGGCTCCCAATATATATATGAAACAATATGGCATTTCAAGCCGTGTCAACATCTGGCTCACTGAGCACAGGGGAGGCAATCTCCATGTCTCAGCGGCCAGGCTCGCCAGCTCCTGGAAGCCAGCTCAACGACTGACGACAAGTGCACTTCCTTCTGAAACCCTCTCCAGCCTACTCAGACCTCCAAATTTTTGCAGGCGAATCATCCCTTCTTGAGATTCCAAGAAAGGCTAAGCATGAGACTCCTTATTAAAATGTGATGAGTATAAAAGAAACTTGAGAATCATCTCTGTGTAAAATCATGGGACTTGAATGTTATCTCTGAAACACTATTTCTAGATGTCTCCTGTCTCTGGTTGATCAAATCTTTGCCTGCCCCTGATACTGTTGTTTGTGTGGACAGAAAATATTCACTAATATTAGTCTAAGCATATGTGATGGGTTAATATTCTGTGATCCAAAGGGAGAAAAACATTTAAAATTATCTATAAATATCTTCTTTTACAAAGGCTGATTTCAAAACAATGTGGTGTAATGATTTGAAGATTGGTCAAAAGCTTCTGTCCCTTTCACAAAGGCATTTAGAATGCAAGTGATAAACCCACACAAAAGATGAATGTCATAACTGTTTAAAGAAAATGAACTAGGGACAATGCTTGGCTAAAGAAATTTCCTGAAGAATATTCAAAATGACTAATAAAATTTTATAGCTTCTTGTACCTTAGGATGTGGAAAAAATGCACCATATAGAAAACTAGTTTTAAAAAACAATCATAGAAAAACCTGGATAATTGTTTTTATTCAATGCATTCAGCAAAAATATGTATTTTGAGCCTATTACATACCAGTAAGGAAATGAGGAACATAAAAGTTATATGTGTCAAAGTCCTTGCCCTCAGCTATTACCTAGAAGGAGAGAACGTACATTTGTATAACTATAATCCATATAATACCATTTCCAAATTAGAAGTATGACATGTTATCTTGCTAATTGAACAGTTAGAAAAATACTGGTGTAATTTTAAACTCATTTTAGTGCCTTTAAATCTGGGAGCCAGGAAGTGCTATTAACATTTTGTTAGTATTTTGTCTCTGAAATGAATCCTTTTTTAACTCTGTGCTAATTTTCCTTGTATTTTAAATATCCTGACTTACAGCCAGCACAGAAAGGAGAGGAATGGTACCAGCAAAGACTGGAAGTCGGTGATTGTATGAGCAGATGGCCCTATTAGGTGGGAGCGTGTGTAGCGGAGTGTCAGCCCATGATGCACTGGCCGTGGTGGCTTTGACTCTAGCAGGAGAGCTTGAGAGTTATTAGTCATGACAAGGGAAAAGCTGAAGGGTTTTTGAGAAAAGAGTGAGATAAAAAAAGGGATTTGGGTAAGATTCATCTGAAAGTGGTGTGGGATGAGGAAAGAGAGAGGAGACTGGAAGGGAGAGGCCAGTTAAGAGGTGTGAGATCATAGAAAAAAAAAGGATATGTATGTCTCTTTCCCTAGTTCCTGGCACAAAGCTCCTAATAAGTGATAAGAGCATATGGAGCATCTTTTGTTCTACTCTGGCTGAGCTGGAGGGCTCTGGGATGGGCACTGGTCCCCAGGAAGTACCAAACATGATTAGAAGCTTGGAATTTTCAGCCTCACCATCCCTACCCCTCATTGCCCAGAGATGGGAGAGGTCCTAGAAATGGAATTAATAAAGTCCCAATAGTAGGGGGTTTGGACAGTTTCCAAGTGGATGAACTCATCCATATAGCAAAGAGTGATGCACACCAACTCCATCGGGACAGAAGCTCCTGCGCTCGGGACCCTCCCAGACCTGCCCTGTGAGCCTCTTCATCTGGATGCTCATCTGTATCCTTTTTCATATTCCTTAAACTGGTAAATGCCAGTGTTTCTTTTAGTTCTGTGAGCCACTCTAGCAAGTTAATTAAACCTGATGAGGGGGTCATGGGAACCTCAGATTTGTGGGTCAGAAGCACAGGTGACAACACGGATTTGCAGTCAGGTGGAGTGGGAGCAGTCTTGTGGGACTGAACCCTTAACCTATGGGATCTGATGCTATTCCTAGGTAGACAGTCACTTGAATTGAGTTAAACTGTACAACAACCAGTTGATCTCACAGAATTGCTTGTTGTAGAGAAAACCCTCCACCCATCTGCTGTCAGAAGTGTGAGTGTGGTAGTAGCGTGAGAATAAAGGAGAAACACAGGAGGAAGTACGGGAGGTTTTGCCTGACTCTGGAGGTCAAGGCAGGTTGTGGTTAAGGTACTTACTCATAAGGAAAGGTTTATGGTTTCACTGTGGCCTCACATTATCCAGAGAATATGTTTGCATTTCAAAGAACTAAACAAAGCACAGTTAATCCATTGTTAATGCAACCACTGTGAGTCAGGCAGCAGTTGCCAATGATGCCATCGGGACCCAGATGCAAGAGTCTGAGGATGACTCGTGCTGTCCACTAACAAGGAAAACGCACTGGGACTTGGAGCATCATTCCATGAGGGCAGACGATGGGAAGAGGATGAATCAAAGATGATTCTGAGACTGTAAACCAGGGACTCAGCAAAATGGTGGTACCATAAAGAAAGAGGAAAGTCAGGAGGAAGTTTAGAGATAAAAATATTGATATGGATTTTAGATATGTTGAGTTGGAGAAGCTAATGGGATATCTGGATTGGAATGAACAGCTCACAGTTGGGAAGTTCAGAACAAGAGCCCAGCAAAGAGGACAGATGCAGATAGACAATTACGGACGTATCTATTTAGAGGTGCTACATATGGGAAGTCGGGCTGAGACCATCCAGAAAGACAAACAAGAAGCCCTCCCTGTCTTGCTGTATTGGTTTCTATCTTTCACTGCAAGCTCCAAAAAGATCATGAAGAATATTTTGTATTTTTTGGAAGGCATCATTTCTCATTCATCTCTGTATTTGTAGCATGGCTTACCTCTACTCTCACCCTCAATCTCCTGAACATCCTCACCATTTTAGTGCCCAGAACACACCATGCTGTTTCTCCCACTTCTTCCAAGAACACTTTCCTCTCCTGCTTGATCTGACTGGCCTTCTCCTGTCACGCTGACATTTATTAATATCTAAGAAATCTTTTCTGATCCTCCTTTAGTGTTCAATATTTAGATCACCTTCACATCACCAGAACACCTACCTTATTGTATTCAATTATTTACTGCTATTTGTTAGCCTGGCTCCTGAGCTTTATGAAGACAGGATTTCTGCCTGTCTTGTTCATAATTATATTTCTAGCACCTAGAGCAGTGCCTGGTACAGAATAAGCACTTAAAAGTATTTGTTGAATGAATAGATCAATGAGTAAATGAAAGGCAAATAATAATTACACATGTGTTTTATAGTTTCTTTATTGCCTAGAATAGTCTGGGCTCAAAGAACACACAGGAGAATGAAATGGCAGCTCTTTTTGCTAAAATGGACTTTTTTACATTATAAACAGACCATGCAGGTCATGTGTGGAAAAGATAGGTGGATTGTAAATAGATATTTTAAATATAATCAAGTGTACCACTGCTTGCACCACCAGCATCCTAAGAACAGTCATCTGATCCATGAGATGAGCATTAAAACCAGATTAGCTGTGGTTTGTATACTTTCTTGGAACTGGTAAGCACCAGGTCTAAATAACACAGAGGTCAGACAGAATCAACAAAATACAATCTTCTTTAGGAGAAAGTATACCTGTTACAAAGACACCATTGCCCCATGCGGAGAAAACCATGGCCTGGAAATCCCACAGTTCAGAGGATTATCGGAAACACGTCCTTTTCTGCGGAACAGAAGTAATCCAGGTCAAGCCCTCCGGGCAGGGGCCAGTAAAAGCAGTTGTCTTACAAACAGGTTAGTAGATTCCACTTTTTGTAAATATAGTCCATGATTGGAGGTGGGGGAGCTGCATTAGGGAGATTTTGTTTAGGATTATGGAATTTGTCACATTCTGGTAATAACAACCATACTTACTTCCAACTGCCACCACTTCCAACAGAAAGGTTCATTGTTAAAACCCTTGTGTATGATGAGACATACACAAAGATGAAGTACATTTCCTAGTTCTTGTTTTGCCTTATGTCCATAAGCTTCTTTTTTCCCTCTACACCCCATCTAAGTGATTACTAAGAAAACAGTTCAACTGCTACCATTTGAGGACTTTTTCCTTTCAAAGGCTTGCTTGCTGGGCTGCTATCTCAAGGTCCCTGCTTGATACCTCTACTTGGGTTCCCTACAGACACTTCCAAGTCAAGGCATCTGACAGTGAATGCATCCTCCTCTATAACACTTCTTGCTATTGACAGCACCACCATGTAACTCCTCACTTCAGATCATTTTTAACTCCTTACTTTCTCCCATACCAAATAGTGCGCCACCTGCTGTCAATTCCACAAATACTTTCTGAGTCCCGTCTCCATCTTCTCCATCCCCATGGTTGATGTTTTGTTGAGACATCGTCTCCTATCTAAACTATTACAACAGAAATAAGCTTTTGACTATTCCTTTCAAATTTAACCTCAAAATTTTTTGTATTTTGTTCAACCCTTCTCTAACCTATCCTTCAATCTGTCACCAAGTCATATTTCTAAACACAGTTTGAAGCAATTCATATACACGGTGCTCAAAAACTTTCCAAGACAACCAATATTAGTCCTAATCTTTGACATGACATTACATGACCAACACCTTCTGTGGTCTGTTCCCAGCTCTCGGTACTCACCATGATCTGCGTTTCTGCCACTTAGCACTTCCATATCTCCATGCTTTAGTTTATGATCCAGTTGTTCTACTTGATTTTTGAAAAGTTAAAAATATTGAGTTTTGTTTTTATGTTCAAAGTAGCTGGTGGGCAGGAGACCGTCTCTCAGCCTGCTGATAAGCAGAAGCTAATGGGTGGGATCACGGAAACCACCTGATTTGAGCTTGTGAAATGGTCAGGGAACAGATTAGAGGAAACTGCTCCTTTACTCCAAAGCCTGCAAACCCACGTTTGAGGAGACCAAACGTTCATCCAGCAGTGGGAATAAGACATGTTGTATAATTACAATACCGACTTGGATCAAGAATATATAGTAGTCAAACACTTTTTTTCCAATAACTTATATATTAAGTATCTAACAAGTGCAATGCACTGAAGGCTAAAGAAAAACACTGTGACATGCTCCTTGCCCTTAAAAAAGGTGATCTGGTGCAGGAGACAGATGGATTTAGAGCTACTGAAACACAGAACAGTGATGGATGTCATCTGCCCAGTGTTACAGAGATTCCAAAGACTGGGAGAAATTATCTCTGATGTGAAGTATGGGAGTAGAATTCTGGAAACATTTATTTGATAAAGTGGAATTTTGAGCCAAGACTGATGGAATGATAAGGACTTAGCCAATCATATCAGACAGCTTGGAAGACATGCAATTTGTGTCTGCAAAACAAAGGAGGGAACACACACAGGGACCTTGAGCAATTAAGAGCTAAGTCTAGCAAGGTAGGAATGGATTGGATTGAAGGGCACTTGAATGCCAAGTCTAGAAATTTAAACTTTGTTCTAAAAAGTGAGGACTCTGGATTGTTTTTGGGCATAAGAATGACAGCAGCAGCAGCATATCTATATTTAAGAAATTACTTGCCCTGTGTTTTCCTTTTCTCTTGATTTTCTATTATTTTCAACACATATGTGTGCTTAAAGTCCTCTCTCAGCAGCTCATCTTCTCTGATTGCTGCATTCATCAGCTCCTTAGTCTCCTCTCCCCAAGCCCCATATATGTGTGGAGAGCTGCACCGTGTGAGACACTGAACCACCCCAACCGTGCCGCACCCCCAGAGTGAGAGAAATCGAACAGGGCTAAGACAACGCCTGTTCTTGTGGCTGGAGACTTGTAAGAGCAACACATTTAAATACACTGCTAGGTCGCAGCCATGCTGTTTTCATTCTATATTCAAGCAATCCTATTAGCTAATCGCTCATTGCAAAACGCAAACCATTTTTGATTTGGAGGGTGCTGTATTAAAGAGCCTTACTCTATATGTGATTATCTTTATGTAGGTTTCAATACAGCCAAAGGGGACTTGGTGAGATCCATCCTCTACCCACGGCCTCTGAACTTCAAACTATACAATGATGCCTTCAAGTTCATAGTGTTCCTGGCCTGCCTTGGAGTCATGGGGTTTTTCTATGCCCTTGGTGTATATATGCACCACAGAGTAAGTACTGGGATTCAGGTTTTTTAATATCAGTTTTCTCCAGGAGGCTGACCTAACTGAAAAGAGTTAGATAAGGTTACTGCTTAGTCCCATGATTCTGGGTATCAATGCTCTCCAATAGAGCTTTCTGAGATGGTGGGAATATTCTGTGTCTATACTCTCCAATTGGGTAGGCCTTAACCCCACAGGCCTATTGAGTACTTGGAGTGTGACTAGGGTGACTGAGGAAATTCATTGAATTTTATTTAATTTTAATGAATTACTTTAAATTAATAATTCAACTATTTAATTAGTTTACATTGAAATAGCCATATGTGGTTAGTGAAAATTGTATCAAATGGTGCGGCTATGTAAAATCGCCAAGTTCGTGGCCCCTTTTGCCACTTGGATGGGAATGTGAGCTTACTGCAAGTCTGGCATTTGCCATACCCAAGTCCAAAGAGCCTCAGAGGAAATACAGGTGCTCAAGGCTGATAGGATGAAGAGGATTGGGTCAATCAGACGGGAGAGCAGGAAGGGCCTATGAATTTGAATGGGCAAAACACAAAAGAAGAAATGCACACGGGTCTTCTGGAGCAAGCAAACAATTAAGGTATTAAATCTAGCAAGGTAGAAATAGATGGGATTGAAGGAGATCTTGAATGCTGTGTCTGGAAAATATTTGAGAGGGCTAAAGTATTTGTATATTGTCCAGCACATACCCAACATACCATATAGTCAGTGAGTTGTCCCTGTGTACCATTAGGTTGTGAAACGAAATTAAACATCTACTTTTACAGAGCTGTATGCTGCACGGATTCCCACTTCCTTTTAAACTCAGTTGGTCTGGTTTCATTTGGATGTCTCTCTTAATAGCTATGATGACTATAGAAGGAAAGGTTGTCACAAATGACCTCTGAGGTTCTTCTGGTCTGACAGATTCTGTTGTGAACCATGCAGTCTATTCTGTGAGATATGCTGGGATTTTTGCAGTGTGGGCTTATAGGGAAAAAAAAATTATGAATGAAAGGACCCAAACATGGGTATGAAATTGGGTGTGAGTGACCTAATTACAATGCCCGAACTGGCAGCATCAGTACATTCTATGTGTATTTTGTGGGGAAGAGGGGTGAATATTGGTGGGCAAAGACACAGTCACATGAACAGTAGGCACTGTTCATGCTCATACTTGAGTTCTGAGTAGTCACTAAATCTGAAAGCCCCCCTTTCTAGGGCAGGCAGGGCACAGAAGGCAAGGGCACATTGGCACCAAAAGAATGGACTCTGAAAAGAGCGATGCGGACTCTCACAGCCAGTAGGGCTGGACTTGGAGGCAGTGTTACATTTCCATCTGGGAAGCAGGAGTGTGGAGCAGGAAAACAAGCAGCAAGCCCACTCCTGTGGACCAGACGGTGTTGGCAGTAATTGGGGAAGGAAGGATTCCTGGGCCAGACGCCGTATGCACCGAAGCAACAGTGCTAACCGCAGCCCCCCGCTTGCTGTGGGCCCAGACTTTTGTGGACCTGCTGGTCGTCTGTCTGCATTGGCTCAGGGTCAGGCAGGGCCAAGTCCTCAGGGGCAAACTCCTCTGGCTGTGGTCAGGCCAAGCAGAGAATGATGGATTTTGTGATAAACTGAGACTGGACCAAAGATGTACTCAGCAGCCATTGTTACTGGACATGAATCTATGTTTCCAGTACTCAAAAGGGACTTGATGACTTAAATTATAGTTAATTTTTTATGTTTTTTATTGTCAAATTCATGGACAGTAGGGCCATTAATATCTAGAGTGTGTGAAAAATAAAACAAGCCATCTGTGACTTAATCTTGGCCCTGCGCTTATCAGTCATGTGAACTTTTGAGACCCACGTGGGATCCTGACTTCACGAGAACAGTCCTGATAATATAACAAGCTGGTTATGCATTTGTGTCCCGGGGTTGGACAGACTAGGATTCAGATACTCACCATTTGTCTGGCATGTGGCCTTGGGGAAGTTATTTAATTTTTTAAGCCTCAGTTTCCATACCTATTAAATGAAGAAAATAGTAGTATTTATATCACATGGTTATTGTGAGGAGTAATTAAATAACGTATGTAGCCTAACACAATGCCTTCCCTAGAGTGTATATCCAGTGAGAGCAAGATATTTTTATTATTGGCTTTCATATTGCAGATAAAATATGCTGAGATCTTTGTAGAATCTTGGTCATGGTTCTTATCAGGTTACCATTCACTCAGTTTGCTCACCTTTCAATATGCTGAGCACCTCTTCTGTGTCAAGAAACTGCCAGGCTCGGTATCTAGAGATGAATGTGAAGAGTTTGAACAGGACTTTAAAGATGAATAAGCCACAGCTGCTACACCAAAGAGTTCATAGGCTTGCAGGGGAAAGAGACTTATAATCCAACAGTCAAGCCAAGGTGTGAAATCCTACAACTCAAGACTAGTTCCAGTGCCCTGGGAGTCCAGAAGGTGTGTGGAAGTATGATAAGCAGAGAAGGGGTGGGTACTCTGAGTGGAAAGAATGAAAAGCGGAGAGAAACCAAGTTGGGAAAGGGCAGGTGGGGGTGGAGGAGAGATCAGCGTCTCCTTTCTTCTGCAGTGCAACACTACATGTTCATTTCTTGAGCGCAACCTAGAGAACACTCAGCCGCACCCAAAGAGCTGATGCTGGGAGCCTTCTGAGTTCCTGGAGCTCCTGTGGTGTTGAAAGGGATGGTGCCCAACAGGGAGCCAGCGTGCTCTGCTCAGCTGACCTGTGTGTTCCTCCTTCCCAGGCCCCTCCAGGAGCTTCAGTGACCATGGCCCTGATCCTCCTCACCGTGACCATCCCTCCCGTGCTACCAGCTGCCCTGACCACCGGCATCGTGTACGCACAAAAGAGGCTGAAGAAAAAGAAAATCTTCTGTATCTCCCCACAGAGGATCAATATGTGTGGGCAAATAAACCTCGTGTGCTTTGACAAAGTATGATCTAAATTTTCCAGATCATAAGTTAATGATTTCTAGGCAGAGCTGAGTTGGGAAGGGCCCCCAAGAATGTCTAGTACAGCCCCTCATTTTGCAGATGGGAACGCTGGAGCCAGAGAAGGTCGCGTAGCGAGCTAGTGTGAGGTCACAGTCTAGAAGCCCATTTAATGAGTGCTAAGGAAGTGGTTTAGCCATCACATCATGAATTTCTTCCCTAAAAAACGTAATGTTCTTGTGCATGTTTGTGGTTTCAAAACAATCTCTTGCTGTAGTAATTTCTGTGACTAAGTGGCATTTTCAAGCAAAAAAAATGTAAGGAACATTTCTCTTCCCTGAAATGCTTTGTCCTGTACTTAAGTGGACATATTCCTTTCTCCTCCTCTCCTACTTTTAAGGAAAGGGAGAGAGTAGGCATTGACCTGTGTTTATGCACCCCAACCCCTTTTTTCTCTTTTGTTCCCCAGGTTATTAGGACTCAGGACCAGAAATGGTTGTCTCTGTGCTTAGGGCCCTGGAAAGGTGGCAGATGAGGCAGATGTTTAGATGGTGAGGACAGCTGGTACAGGACAGGGCCTGAAACCACCCCTACTCCATTGTGCTCCTAGGGGAGCCTGGAGGGACTTCAGACCCTGCCCTCAGCGTGGGCAAGCCAGTTAACTGCTAGCACGCAGTGAGCCTGGCTTGGGCCCTCCATGTCTTTGGTACACTAGCATTTAAATAGCAGGTAAAGGCCCTGCCAATTTGTAGTGAGCCCACATTGCCAGAAAGACCCATTAATGATGTTCCTTGCTCTTGAGAAGCTCATAGGCTAGTTGAGAAAGCAGGTAAAACAGAAGTGTGGACAAGGATAATGCAGTGAAATGCATGCTTAATACAGGTCTAAGCAAAGCATCATGGTGTGGTTACCTGCCACAGGGGAAAGGTCACCTTGGGGCTGTGGTTCTGGTTGCTGGACAGAATGGGCCCCAGGCTCAGAGGCGAGCAGTTCAGAAGCACAGGGGTGCCAGGCCTCTAGTATATGCAGGACAGAACAGTGGGGTGTGGCTAGAATTCTGGCCACTTGGTCAGGAGTGTAGCTGGAGAGAAGGAATCCAATAGCTTAGGGCCTGAGGTGCCAAGCTAAGAAGTGAGGCCTTGTCATAAAGGAGAATGGGAGCCCTTCTTGTGTTTTAAAAAGATCATTGATATTTTTATAGGTGTGTTTTATTTATTTCATCTGGGGGAACTGGTGAGAAGGGATGGAAAGGAGATAAGACTGAGACAGAAGGATATCTGGGGACAACTAAAGAGATGGCTTATTGTCCTCACCAAGGATGGCAGGAGTGGGGAGTGGAGGAAGGACTGGAGATTCACCAGGAGGAGACAAGTCTTGGCTCCAGTTGAGAAGCACAACTCTAAATAAGATTATTTCAGTTCTATTATTTCACATTCCCTTTGCAAAGTAAGTCCTCAATCACCAGCAGGTGGGAACCAGTAGGGTTAACTTAACAGTAGTTCCTTTAGATTCAGGGCCAGATATCATCCCCTTGGAAGTTTGCTGGTGGGGATTCCCATCATTCACCTAGCAGCCTCACTAGTGGCTAGAACATAGAGGGAGATTTATAAAATATGTTCATTACATATTCATCTAATTTCTCCAGAGGTGTTGGTTTTCCTTCCCATATAAAGTTTTTCTTTCCACATCCTCATGTGCTCTTTTGCTAGACTGAGGGACCACAACCTCTGCATGGCCTGATGGCATGTTAGAGTGCAAAGAGCTCATGACTGACTGGGAGTGGGCAAGATGGAAATCAAATCCAGCATTTGATACTAAGTTTCTGTGCGGCTTTTTAAAAGAAACTACAATTATCTCTAAGTTTCTTTCTAGTGTTCACATTATAAAATTCTACCAACATGATGTTGGAATAAAGCACTCCACAATTAATTGAATTTCCATCTAGTGTTATTTCACTTTAAAAGATACTCACCACTGGACATCTGAGTGCATTTGTTCCCATATATTTCCAATATATATTGGTTTGTTACGAGTTTTCTGAAACAAGTTCTTCTTTCTTTTTTATTCAACTTACTTCAAGCCTGAGCTAGTATTATGCTGAGGAGTTTTCTTTTTCTATCTCATTCCCTTTAGAACCACAGCTATAATTTAGTTTTCTTTCTGCTTATTTTGTTGCTTTTTGTTGTATAAAGGTCATTTCCATGTGGAGAAATAACATAGTTCCATTTCTGCTTTGCTGCGGTATCATGTCTGTTTTCATGGTCAAAATATTGATGTTTAAAATCATAGCCTAATCATCAGGAAAACATTTCAGTTTGAATTAAGTTGCTCACTCTTTTTGAAATGGAACAACTCAAGAAGATTTGGAACCTAAACACACAGCCTGGGACTCATATAAAATGCAGGAGGGAAATGAAATAAATAGCTTTTTGTTGTTTTGTTCAAGGAATAACTCACACAAATCTTGTTAGCTCCCCATGAAGTCCAAATGAATTAATGAAGCAAAGAGTCCTTAATTCTTTATTCCAGGAGCCCATTATGGGCTCTGTCTTTCCACATGCTTTGCAGAATTCATTTAACATCCGTCATCTAGTGGAAGACTCCAGATGGGTTGGATTCTTGTTCTTTCTCTCCAACCTACTGGCCTCTGGTGCCTGAGGCTGCTCATTTCACCTCCATCCTAAGCGGGTCTCCACCAGGTCTATTCAGCTGTAACAACTGAAAGCTCTGTATGTACTTCACTGTAAGAATTATGCTAATGTGATGTACTGTCATGACAGAAAAGGCATCTGATAGAAAAGTAGAAAATTTAGTGTCTTATACGGAGATGACCTTTAAAAAATAGTGGCAGAAACCTGGGTGTCAGGGTTGAGACAGGATGTTGCCCATCTTGGGGCATTGCTCTCATCCACCTGAGTCTGCAGAAGCAGCCGTAGCCACCTCCTTCCTCTGCCGGGGAGTTAAGCAGGTCTAGTGCCATTAGCCTGCCACAGAGAGACACAGGGGTCTTTAATTAATGGTCAGAGGTGAAGCAATGAGCAAATTAAAAGTGCTGTGATAGTAGTCAGTTCCATTTTGCTTTCTCGGTTACATAATCTGACAAATACTTTCCCATAATACAGTAAATCAAATCTCCCAACCATTTTCCTCTTGGTCTAAACAATAAACCCATTCATGTGCATTAATTAATATTTATTATTAGCACTTCATTTCTCTCTATGGGCTCAAAGCTCTTTATCAACATTTCATTATCAATCTGGACAGTCACCATGTCACCCATATTTTAGAAAATTGCTGTGAACCAGATGGCAGACTATGAACTAAAGAGTCTCCAAAAGAAAGAAAAAAATTCTGAGCTCTGCTTTAGAAAGACAGCAGGTGCCAACTAAGGAGTCAAACTCTCTCTGTTTTTGGTTGGATTTCCATTCCTTGAACTTGTCTCATTTAACAACAGCAAGTCACAGTAAACAAACAAAAACAAAACACTTGCATTTTGTTGTCATAATGAGTAACCAGCATCATCTAATTATCAGCATGGTCTTTTGGGAATCATCTATCACCTGCTGAATCGTTCTTTCAGGCATCCTCTCTGATTCAAAATTTCATGGTTAGACACAAAGGCTCTGGGCAGCTACATCAACTTTAATGTCTTGAGAGCTTGGGCTTGTTTAAATCATGATATAAGTAAAAGCTCTAAATCTTATGCTAATAGCAATTCTCATTTTTTTCCAGACTGGCACTCTTACAGAAGATGGGCTGGACCTCTGGGGGACGGTCCCCACTGCTGGCAACTGGTAGGCACATCATGGAGGGGGAACGTGCGATGGGTGGGGTGACCTTGGTGACCCCAAATCCATCCTTCCAGTGTTGAAGGATGAATGTCACATAAAATACATACAATAACTGGCAGGAATCATCTCCCAATTGTTATAACTTGTTAAGTTCAAAATCAGATGGGAAAATACATCTTCAAACCACACATAAAAAATGGAATAGAATGAGGTGGTTAACTAAGGAGCTGAATGAATAATCCAGAATAGCAAAGAGTGACATCAAAACTGTGCTTAATTAGACAAGGCAAAGACTTCCCAGTGACTAGTTGATGGGGGATTGAGAAAAGAAGAACTCCATCGTTTCCCTCACAGAGCTCACAGTCTAGTGTGATAAAAAGGTGTAAATGTACCCACTTCCATAGTTCAACACAGGCCTTGAAAAGCACAAATATCAGAAAAGAGAAAGAGAAACAATAATTGCTTGATATAATACACATTCCTGCTTTCCATAATAACGTAGTGGATAAAAGGTAGAAAATGATTTTGAAAATGAATGAATCAAGAAAAACCACTTAAGGAGATAGCATTTGAGATAGGTTTTAAAGGGTATATGGCAAGAATTTCTACAGACATGAGCTAAAAGCTGGCACCTGGGATGGGAGAAGACAATTACAAAGATGCTACTCAAGAAAAGAACTAGAGGGGGGAGAATATGCCCCTTTCACTCCAAAGTGTGTACCCTGTTCTGAGCTCCCTTCTCTAGGGGGCTGCTGCTTCTCAGGCTGAGTGGAGATGCTCTTAAGCTCTGAGTACCCCAGCTTGGTTCTAAACAGTGGCTGAGACTGCTGTCACTGAGGAGTTATTCAAGGGCCTCAATAGCCGTGGGGCCAGACACAGCACTGGCACAAGGTAACAGCAGACAGGCCATGTGAGGTTGCAGAGACACCTGGGCTAGGTGTCAGTGAATACAGGAGCTCTGGCTCTACTCGTGTGTCTCTGCTCCTGGCTGCTCAGATGCTGAGGCCACAAAGGTACTGCTTTGTCCTCTACTGGTCAGAGCAGTGAAAGGGTAAAAGGATGTCTGTAGTTTCCACCCCTACCCCCACCACCCCACCTTTCTCTTAGTACTCTGAAGTTTTTGGAGGAATAGAAACAACTAGATGCAGTTCCATTCAGCTCTATAATGGGAAGAGAGAAAGGTAAATCAAACCTATCTACTGTCTAAAAGAAAACGGGCTTTGGACACTGGATATCCATGCTGGGAGTTTCAGGAAAGAGGGGCAAAGGCCAGAAGGCTGAGCAGTGAGAAATACTTCAGAGTCCGTGCATGCTTTTACTTGAAAGAAACAGGAACCAGCAGGCAGGCTTCCCATCACTGATACCTCAGTGACCTAGAGACTTCTTGTCTGGAGTGTGTGGCTTTCTAGAGCCAGCTCTGTGGTGTGGCAGGTTATCCTCTCTGAGCCTTCCCACAATTGTATCTTCTAATACTGCCACCATGTGGGCTGGCTGCAAATGGCCTTACAAGTCCCTGTGATTAGAACCTAGGGCTCTGACTTCATCACATAGGGCATGAGGAGCCATAACAGGATTGGAGCATTGAGTGAGGTGCACATGAAGCTCTGTATTAGTGAGAGTGATGAAGCAGAGAGTGCCAAATGATTCTGTTGAAGACCTGACCTTATTATCTTCTCCACCAGTTTCCAGGAAGTCCACAGCTTTGCCTCAGGCAAGGCTTTGCCATGGGGCCCACTGTGTGCCGCCATGGCCAGCTGCCACTCTCTCATCCTTCTCAACGGAACCATCCAGGGAGATCCCCTGGATGTCAAAATGTTTGAAGGCACTTCCTGGGTAAGGTGATTGTTTCCTGGTTCAAACGAATAAGGAAAATTTGAAGAAATCCTTCTTAGTGGTGCTAAAGCTTTTCTAACTTTGGTTGAAACCCAGAGAAGATTCATAACAACACATAAGTGAAGGTTAGATAACTTCCTGAATTTCCCAACTTCTGCTCCAAAGAACTCTGTTAATGAGTACAAGGTGGAATGGGGGTCATGATCAAATAAATTTGGGAACAGCTGTTCAAGCAACATTAAATTGCTTTCTTGACTCCAGGATTTCTTTAATATACTGTGCTGCATTGTGAATATTCAAGATAAAATATGATAGGCAGTATTTACCAAATCTATTTGACCACAAAACCTTGACAGGCCAAAACATGGGACAAGTGTTCTCCAAAACACCCCTTGAGAAACAGCAGTCCAAAGCACTGGGCACTACAGTAGCCGCTAGCTTCCCATGGCTATTGAGCACTTGAAGTGAGGCTATGCAACTGAGGAACTGAATTTTAAGTAGTATTTACTTTAATTGATTAAAATTTAAATTTCAATAGCCACAAGTTGCTGGGAGCTACTGTATTAGGCACCAAGCTGGAAGTCCCTTGGTCCAACTGAGTGTGAATAACAGTTGAAGGGTATAAACCATCCTGGCAACTATTCCATCCCTCTCTAGTTATGTGACCACAAATCCAGAATTAAGACACTGACTGTTACTTCACATGTGCATTTGGGGTAATAATGCCTTACTTGTGGACTTGTGGGGAACATTGAGACTATGTGCTAACAAGGCTGTGTATATTGTAAGGTGCCCAGCAAATGGGGGCTATTTATTTCCTCATTCAATAGTTAATTCATTGCACTATTATGCCCTTAAAAAAGCATTTTAAAGCTTCTTATGGATACATGAACTACAGGACAGCATTTGAAACAGAGATGCAAAGGAATAGAAACAAATGGTTACAGGAGCATGGAGTACACCTCACAAAGAGACTAATGTGAAGATGTACAGTAGGAAAATTATGGCTTTCTAGAGACCAAAGTAATAAAAGGAGAAACCTGGTAAATGGGGAAGTTTCTGCTATCAGTAAGCTAAAAGTACCACATTTGCTGTGGAGAAATTTTTGACATAAAAACAAAGCAGCAATCACTCTCCTGGATCTTAATAGAGAGGAATCACTGTAATTATTATAAATAACATCCTTACCAGCATCACTGAAGTTGATACAGTGATGAATTGCACAGGGTCATTATCATTATATGTGACATTGATTCTGGTTCTAATGGTACCCCCTTCTTCATTGGAGAAGGGTTGATGTACTTGTACAAATGACATATAAATTGGCATCTTGTGTGGGAACATAAACCTTTAGCATTAGCTCTGTAAGAACTGTCTGTAAGAACACTATATCCACCCCAACAAAGCATAAAAGTATAAGATTATTCATTGACTTGAAGCTTGAATTACATATCCTTTGGTAGTTAGCAACTCTTCATTAAACATAAAGGGAAGGGAAAATGTCCTTAAAGACTCTAAGAATTTTAGCACTGGAAGGGATATCAGAATATTTTTCAGAAGAAATTGAAGTCAGGAGAAATGAAGTGATGTCCCCAAGGTTAAACAGGTAAGTGATAGAATGGAGACCCGATGTCTCCTATTTTCTGACTTCTGTTTATGTAACCAACTCCCTTTCCCACATTTTAGGTCAGTATTGGTTTCTTAGATGGTATAACTTATACTGTTGTGATATCCAAAGAAATCAAACGATTTTCAAATATGCTGTCTATTTTGCTAGCAGCTAACTTGGTAACTCTCTAGCCAACCAGTTAGGCTAATAACATAGACGTAGCAAAAGAGATAGTCCCATGTTTATCTCAAGACCCAATCCTTACCTATCTGAGAGCTAATGTGCTCAGCTATATTGGAATGTAGATCTCCACTTAAACCTTCATCCAATTACTGGACATACCATTTAGGAAGAGCCATTGGCCTGTAGCTAGCATTTCTTCCATCAATTACTACTTAAAATGCAGTCACAATATTTCTGGCTTTTTGACAGTCTACAATAAGGTCCTTAATATATACCAATACCACAGAAATTTGACAGTGATAGCATTAAGGTAATTGGCCTAGAAAAGAAAATATGTGAAAAGGGCTTTGAAAAGCTTAAAGTCCTATGCAAATGAAAGAGATATTTTTTTCTTATTTTTCTCTAAGGAATCTTATGAATGTTTTCACTTTAAAACAGATAATGGAAGATTGCAATGTAGACTACTGCAAATTTGGGATGCCAGATTCAAACATAATAATGAAACCAGGACCAAAAGCCAGTCAGGTATGATTTGCTTCTTTAAATTATGTAGCTCTGTGCCCTTAGCACTGGTGAAACTTCTCCAACTTTCACATATTTTTATAGTCCTGTTTTTTTACCTTATCCTAACAGTGTCCATAGTTGGTTTTATCCTTTTATCCTGAATTTATCCATTAATTTATTCAACACTCACCACTTACCTATGTATGCTTGAGCTCTGTACTAGGTGCTAACGGATAGAGTGATCTTAAAGTTAGATATGTTGGGATCTGTACTGGAGGAGTACATGAGCTCGTAGAAAAGCAACCTAGGTGGGAATAAATGCAATACAGTTTGCCAAGTGCTGTAACAAAGGCTGAAGAAACTGCCACAGGAGTTCAGAGCGGGGAGTAAATACTATTTGGGAGAGAGAGAAGCACCACAGACCTGTGAGCTTGGCCTGGAAGATGGTCAGAATTTTGCAGACCAAACAACTTAACCAGAGAAGTGCCTTAGGGGGAGCCTGAAAAATACCAATGTGGTGACAAATATACTACTTCGTGCTGCCCCTGGGATCATTGCTGAGTAAACGCCTTGTTGATGTGCATCTGCTAAATCTCACTGTAAAGTTTCTAAGCTCCTCTTTCTTGGCACGCTCACAGAGTCCCGTGGAAGCCATCACCATCTTGCGCCAGTTTCCATTTTCTTCGAGCCTGCAGAGGATGTCTGTGGTTGCTCAGCTAGCAGGGGATGATCACTTCCATGTCTACATGAAGGGTGCCCCAGAGATGCTGGTCAAGTTCTGCAGATCTGAAACAGGTGACGCTTTTTTTTTTAGGAGGTAAAATATTTTAAAAGCCCAAACACATAAAGCAAACAAGCCTAAATCAATGATTGTAGAGGTGGATGTTTTCTCAGTGGGTGTAGGTGGGCCCAATAGATACAATAAAGCAGAGGTGACCATCTCAAGGCAGAAGCAGAGAATAAATATTTGGCTGTGGTCCGGCCAGAAAGGCCCACCCACAGTAGGGTATCAGGGAAGGAGATGTGACTCAAACATCTGGAGCTAGAACAGGAAGCTGCATAGGGGTTAGAGAACCAGGAAGGGCGAGAATGAGATGCATTCAGAAGGGGCCAAAGGGATAGGTCTGGGCACTTGACTGATGCTGTGGATGGGCCGCTTCCTCACCTTTGGGGGGCACCACTTAAGGGGCCTCGGACAGATTGATGGAAGGAAAATAGAGAAAAGATACATCTTTTAGAAAAAAGTGATGAAAGTAAATTAGATGGTATTAGAGCAAAGTAATTGATCATTTTCACAGCCATTTCCTCTTTCTGGACCAGATTTTGAGCTGATTTGTATTGTTTCTTGTCTTATAAACATATGCACTCTCTAAGCGGCAGTCTAGATTTATAAGAATATTGTGCATTCAAATGAGTTCATTTGGATAAAATTGGCCTTTTTCTCCTGATTTTCATCTATATTCTCCTTAGAATTGCTGATAGCCATCATCTGTGCACAGAATTTCAGATTTGGCAAATAATTGCTCTAATTTCTCTCTCTACTTGGAATCTTTTTTACCTTGGAAGTACCCCTCTTTTCTGATTTGATCTTCCTTATGACTCCTATTAACTCTCTACTTCACCACTAGATGGCCTGTGCTTTGCTGTTTTGTGTTTCGTGGTTTTTTTTGTATTTTAAGCCACATAGATACAGGGGAGTATCTTCTTGAATTTTTAACTGGTGACTAACTGTCCCTGCTTGATTAGTAAGGGTTTGGGCCTGTCCTTTGTCACCTTTCATGCTTCAGGCAGCCCTTCCTGTTTTACTTATTGTCCTAACCTCTGATCATTAACATGCACTAATACCATCTTCAGTGATTGCTTTTCCCCCTGTATTTAAGAAATAGAGAGCTAGGACCTTCTTGTAATTAGATCTCCCATTTCCAGGATTATTTTAGAATGCAGGAAGTCTGAGATGCATGGAGACATGAGATCCACAATTGTCTCATTTTATGGATAAGAAAATGGAGGTGTAGAAGAGAGATTTAACATGCCCAAGTTAGAGAACTAGTGGGCAGTAAAGTGAGGACTAGAATCCAGGTGTTTTGCTACCCAAGCCACTATACATCCCATTGTACTGTGCTTCTTTCTAACACCCTTAGAAGCATGCTATACGCCATAAAGACTTTATGACTATATTAACATTAGTTATGATTTTCAGGCCAGAACACACACATCAATGCTGACACCGTTTCATCTATTATCTGAAGCAGGGATTGGCAAACTTTTCTGCAAAAAGTCTGGTAGTAAATATTTTAGGCTCTAAAGATCTGATTCTATATCTGTTTCTCAACCCTGCCATTGTCATCCAAAAGCAGCCATAGACAAACAAATGGGCAGTGCTCTGTTGCAACAAAGTTTTATTTAAAAAAGCAAGCAAAGGGCCAGATTTGGTCTGTAGTTTGCTGACCTCTGATGTAGAGGATTGGCTGTTTCTCTTATTTCATTCAGGTGGGCATAGTCCTGAGGTCTGTCCTTACTAAAGCCAGCCTGTGTATTTGACACCCAGTTGATAACCAGCACGTCTTCAGCATTCATTTCTGTCAGAATAATAAGAACACACTGATGAAGTCATTTGTGGCCTTTAACTGAAGCTTTAGCTTTTCTATTAAAGCATTTTTTAGAGTGAGGGTTAAAACAAGGTACAGTGACTGAATCCCAAATCTCGCATAGGAGTTGGTGGCCAGTGACCTTACATTTCCCTCTTTCCTCTCAACTGACAGTGCCCCGGAATTTCCCACAGGAGCTGAGGAGTTACACAATGCAAGGGTTCCGCGTCATTGCCCTTGCTCATAGAGCCTTGACGATGGGGAAGCTTTCAGAAGTAGAGAGTTTAGCCAGGTAAGGAAGTTGGAAATTGGCGCTAGGGCACGATTGGTGTGCAAGAAGTGAATGAGCCTGGGAGATGGACAGATGGACAGCTTACATCAACAGGAAGGCTCTGGGAGATAGAGAAACAATCTCATTCTGATTCAGAGATGGGCAACTGTAAACCACCGTGGGGAGGACTTGCTCAATTTCCAGTGCTGGTTGGTGGCAGAACAAGGATGACAGTTGAGATCTCCTAACTGCCATAGGCCAGTGAGTTATCTCTGCCCTACATCCCATCATCCCACCAAAAATATCCAGCTGTCTTTCAACCTCCAAACATTACGTAGCAGACTGGCTTTGGGGTTCCACATACAAAGGGGTTAGGAGGAGGAGACAGCTGGCCCTTTGAAAGGCCTCCAGGATTCTTCAGACTTAGCTTCTTTTAGGGCTCAATAGTATGCCTCCTTCAGATCTGGAGAGGTAGTGAGTGCAAACTGAATTCCGTGTATGAAATAGAATTCAGCATTCTTAATTACATTAAGGGATAAATTGTGCACATTAGAGGAAAAATTGTAAACTATTTTTTTCTTTCAATGTTTCTCAGTTTTTAAAGGTTGTTTTTAAAATTGTCTATAATAAAGGAGTAGAGAGATACTATGGAAAGTTGAATAACAAATCATTCATGCATTCCTTATCTTTGATTTTGTGTTGCTGGTAGAGAGATCCTCTTTTATATATGATGAGCCCTTCTTCATAAGATGTGGATATCCGTGGTTCAACATTACTATTTATATAATCAGTAATCATTGTCTCTTTCTTAGACTATGTCTATTTCCCCCACCTATGAAACATAGGATTAGATGATCTCTAAGGAGCCTTTCAGCCATGGCATTTTCATCTTCTAAATAGAATCACAATGCTCATTTTGAAATGTATGAATGACACTCTCAGATTTAACATTCAAGGTGTTAGCTATTCTTGAGCAAGCATAAAGACCCATAACAAATAGAATTTTGTAATTGTTCAAGACATAAAATTTAATAATGGAAGTTAAGGTCATGTGTGAAGAAAAGCTTTCCCTAGCTAGACCTGGAGAGCAGCCACCACCCAGCTGCCACATTCGAATGCGGCTGTGATGTTCTCATTTAAAAGCCACTAGTGAGATAAACATTTTATAAATATAACAAAAATAGGAAAGTGAGGACAAAATGTGCTAAATTTCCAACCACCTCACATTTTTCCAGAGAATATCAGGAACCTATTCTGCTTCTTGAAATTTAGTTAATGTTTTCAAACAAGGCAAAGGAATAAGGTTTTGATATTTATTAGAATCAAATTACATTTAGCAGTTTTTCAATTAGGAAATAGAAAAATATCTAAAAAACAGATATCATAAATGGGATTATAACCATTTTTGAGATGATTTAGAAAAACAAAACACAAAGCTAAGAAACAGGAGAAATACTTTATCAAGCTCTTTCTTTGGTTTAGTAGATTTCTATTGAGCTTGACTGTGTGTGAGATGCTCAATTAAGAAGTGAATAATGTAAAATTCTTACCCTCATGGCTTATATCTTAATTGGGGAAAGTGGATAATAAAATAAATCCTTTAACATACTGTCAAGTAATAAGGGAAAAAATAAATCAAGTTAAGAAGATTTTTAGAAGTGAAAAAAGGATGCTGTTTTACATGGAATGATCAGGTAAGTCCTCTGAGGAGGCAACATTTGATCAGAGATCGCAGTCAAGTAAGGAAGCAAAGGGTGCATGTATCCGGGGGGGGAGCATTGCAGGCAACAGGAATAGTGGGCACAAGGGCCTGCCGCGGCTTGTGCTGGGAATGGGATAGGGTTGCAAGAGGCCAAACTGCTTGAAACAGTGAATGAAGGGAAGAGTCATGAAATAAGACCAGAACCAGAATACATTGGTGAGAAGAATTTTGGATCTTTCTTTTAGTTCTGGTTAATGAGAAAATATTAACCCAATCTATAAAAGAAAGTCATGAAGCTAAATGGTGGCAGTATAATGAGTTTTATATTAAGGTATAGATTTTCTTTTATAATATCCTCTGAAATCACTAAGGCAGGATTCATATATGATTTTCTGAGTATTTGCCAAAGTGTCTAATATAAAAATCTAAGACAAAAAGTTATTTGGTGAATGGACTTTTGAATGAAGGATGTAGCAACTTATACTCTCCTCCAGAGAGCAGTTTCTTCATTGTGTTCCCATCCAAGTTTGAATTATATTTTTCATCAAGCAATCTGACTCCAATCTTTCTCTTAAAGAAGGTTCATTGATCATATGTTTATTTCCTTTCCCTCCAAAGTCCTCTACATAATAGAAAGAAATAGTATCAAAGGAATCTAGAGAAGCATTAAGTGCAGATGAGAGATCTCTGCATATTTCTGTAAGATGTTAAGTCAGTGGGGGAGTGCCAGCTGAATCAGCAGGATGGTAGAAGCTACAGCTTACACCCTACCAGACAGAAAGATGGCAAGAGGAAAGTTGGTTCACCGTGTAGGACCCAGGAAAGGCCAAGACTCAGATATGTCATGCACTACAGTAGGTGGAGGTGAGACTCAGGCCCAAACACCAGGGATTAATGACAGTGTACAGAAAGGTCAGATCCATAGGTCTCCTCCTCCCCCACGCTCCTCTCCCTGAAATCTTGGCCCCACTCTGGACAGAAAAAAGGAAAGATGCAATCAAGAAAGACCTCCTGGTCCCCAAATTTACTTTTTAAAAAGGCACATAAAATTTATTCTGTTTCAGAAGAGACTTATTCCATTAGTCACACATCACTAATCTAACCTAATTAGACTCCAAGCCTCCTATTTCAAATTCTGAAAACTTCAGCTCCTTGACTGATGCCATGTATTTCCTGGAGGCTACAGCTGATGGTTGAAGCGAATGACTCCATGTGCACCTATGATTGTAGTATCCTGTACGCAGTACGTACTTCATAAGTGTCTCAGAAACTGAAGGGATTACAAGCTCAAGAGAACAAAAGTGCTTGGAAATTTAAAAAATACAAAATAAAAATTTTAAAAACAACTGAAGAGTTGGAAGATAAGCACACTGTTTTTAAAAATGGAGTTGAAAACTGGAAGCAGCAGCTAACAGTGGATGTCTCTGGGAAGGAGAAGGGATGAGGAGGCGTGGGGACAGGAGCTGGTGGTTTTCATTATAAGGTTTTGGGTTATTTTTTATTTTTTAAACACTTGCATGTATTACATTGATAGAACTTAGACATTTTAGAAAGGAAGAAATAAATCCAACTGTTGAGACTACATAAGCGCTAATACTAACTTACTCCTGAATTGAAAGAGAGAAGGCAGAGTCCGAGTTAACATTTTTGGGACTTCTCATCATGGAGAATCGCTTGAAGAAGGAGACCAAGCCAGTCTTGAAGGAGCTGAGTGAGGCCCGCATCAGGACTGTGATGATTACTGGTATGTATTTCTAGAGGCCTGGCAAGCTGAGGGCATCCCTGGCATAAGAAAAAGGGGGAAAGCTCATGTGAATTGAGTGAGTTCACATGACTGAGGCAGAAGGAAGTACGCTGAGCTGTCAGTGGTTCCCCTGGGCTCCAGTTGCGTGGGGACTGCCCCCTACCACCGCCAGAGCTTGGGAGGTGCATATCTGGACTCTCCAAAACCCTTCCTCTATGTCCAGTGCTCAGTTTTCCTCCCTTCCTCCCCAGGACCAGTGCAGTGCTAATGCGCTCACAGTAAATGTTCTAACACAGGAAC